AGACAGGCTACTGGGCTAGATGGACCTTTGGTCTGACCCAGTACAGCCATTCTTATGTTCTAATCTCAGGGCTCAGGGTCGGGGGTCTCATTGGACCAACTTAATTTTCATGCAAACCTGCTCCTGGGTTCGCATGTGACCTTTGGAAGCCAGGCTGGCTGCTATCCTGCCCTAGATGGCCGCATTCCTGTGCCTAGTGTGGAGGTCGTGCACGTTGGAGGCCTTCCCCCAAACATCGATGAGGTCCACGATCTCTGCACTACACTAGTCGGGCGCCTGCCTCTTGCAACCCTGGGGAGGCTCCTGTGATCCGCCAGCCTGGTCCTGGGAAGAGGTGGCGAGCTGGGTGGCAGCGGGTGACTGGCTCATGCTGTGCCAAGTGCAGGGTCTGCTGGCTGGGTGCTGGCAGGCTTGCAACTGGCACAAGCACTGTAGCCAGACCATGCCCCTTTAAGGGCTCCGGGGCAGGAAGGGGGGCAGAAAAGTTTCCCTGGTTTGGCCTAGAGTGACCACTAGGGCAACCTGGGAAGGGCTAGCCTCCAACTAGTTCAAATTAAGTGGCTACACAGCCCTTAATTCGAACTACTTAATTCGAACTAGGCGTTACTCCTCGTAGAATGAGGTTTACCTAATTCGAATTAAGCGCTCTGCTAGTTCGATTTAAATTTGAACTAGTGGTTTGTATGTATAGCTGCTATGAAAGTTAATTCAAACTAACGGCTGTTAGTTTGAGTTAACTTTGTAGTGTAGACATACCCAAAGGTATTACTCTTGCCATTTAGCATTTTGCACTTTTTCTTGTTTGTTGTAAACTATGTAACTGACCCAACATTTCATACCTATGTAACACTTGCATATTACTTTGGGATCTATGGGGTGTAAGCCGTACCTCTGCTGGAGGAATAGTAGCAAGCACTATCTGTGTTGTACCCATTGGAAGTAGTTCATCCACTTTGATCGACAGTTACACCCAGCTATCACCTGTGACTCCAAGTTGCTATTTGCATGCAACAGTGGCCTTGCTCTGGGAAACAGCTTCAGTGAGCAGACCAAACCAGCTGATGAGCCTTTTGCCCTGGTGAGCATGCAAAGACTGTTCAAGTGGCCTGGGCAGAGGAAATCAATTGGTGATTCTACTTCCATGAAGGCAGTTATATTGGCTCATCAGCATTGTCAGCCATGGACTACCAATGTGTATATATAATATATACATATTACTTTAGGACTTGTCTGCACTACTCTTAAGTCAATGTAACTAACTTTGCTCGGGGCATGGAAAAGGCACCCCCCAAGTGATGTAAGCTACATTTAACTTAAAGCTCTATCCACAACAAGCTAAATTGCCCGGAGACATTTCCCCATTGACATACCTTGTGCCTCTCATTGAGGTAGAGTCATTATGTTGACAAGAGAGCACTCTCCTGTCGGCACAGCATCCCTCTCCCTCCTCCCGCAGCAAGGACCCATGGTGTGCTCCAGCCCTCTGATCTGGCACTGTGTGGCAGTCTAGACGCGGCACGGTCAACAAGGGAAGACTTTTTTGACCGCTCCGATAAACCTCATTTCATGAGGTATACTGGAGCAGTCAACAAAGGCTTCCCTTGTCGACTGCGCTGTGTCTAGGCTGCCGCGCTGTGCCGGATCAGCTGATCATCGGCACAGTGCAGTGGCCATTTTTATTTTAATGAAGCAGAGCTTATTTAAATCCCCGCTTCTTTGACTATGCCAAATAAACTATTTTACATGGCTCCGTCGACTGAGCCCTGTAGTCTAGACGTACCCCTGATGTGCCAGTGCAATAGTGAAGACTAGGGATATTAGATAGCATGTAATTGAATAGTCATGGAACCGCATGAAATTTTAGTGGTTACACAACTATTTGATAGTCCTCGGGGGCGGGGCTGGCAGCCAGTGCACTCCTGGCCCATTTCCCAGGGAGCCCTCTGTCACTCTATCAGAGGCTGCAGCATGGGTAGCCGGCGGAGCTGGTCCATGTGGGGAGCCAGTTTAAAAACGAGCTCCCTGCACAGACCAGCTGCCTACTGCCCTGCACTGCTGCCTTGGTACGAGACAGCAATGTGGGGCGGCAGCAGATCCTGTCCGTGAGAGTCCAAATTCCCCGTGGACAGAGGCTGTTCTGGCATGGAACAGCCTCTGTCTGCGGGGAGCTCAGGCCTGCCATTGTTACCCACCAGCTCTGTGATTATTGGGGAACCAGAACATGGTCACCTGTCAGCCTTGTGCTCTTGGGGAGTCAGGGAGTGACATTCATGGAAAACCCTTCCCCTCCCTCAGGCCTCTGCTAGAATCAAAGACAAAGCAATGAAAAGGCCGGGAAAGACACACCTAAACTGCTTCAGACAAGGGTGATATAATTAAGGAAACACCCCAGCCTCATTTGCATTAAAGATGGAACAGAGGGACATCTCATTAGCATACAGAATGGAGAGCAGCTCTTCCAAGGCAGGAACCGTACTGACAGAATGGAGAGCAGCTCTTCCAAGGCAGGAACCGCACTGAACTATGGGACACCGAAAGCAGAGAAGCACTGCGTGATGGGAAATCCCTGCTCCAGATGCTAATGAACCTAGTCCTGCTCACACCCAAATTAGTCATTATCAGACCAATTCTAGTAATGATCCTATTGACATCTAAAATACTGAAACTGCCAAGTTGCATTGTGAGCTCGTTCAAGGAACATCACCCATAACCAGGTGTGATCAGTCTCTATTGTCTCTCCTCTTTCTCTTTGAACTATCCCTATAAAAACTCCTATCCTTGCCCCAAGAAAACTGTTCTGATACCTGGACTTAAACTGCATCAGTTCCATTGAGACTTCTTCATCTCCTGTCTGATCGTGCTGGGGGCTCTGTCCTGCTTTTCTCCTGCCCTCTGGACCCCCGGCTACCATCATCATCTGGGAACCCCGATCAGTGCAAGCTCCATGGAGTGGTGAGGTCTCTCTCTCTCTTTCTCTCTCTCAACTATCTCTCTAAGCATAGCCTCCTGACCCTGCCCTGTGTAAACTGTTATATGGTTACCTAACATTTGTAATCAGCTTCAATTTAGATTTAATATTGTAATTGTTAGCTTTAATATTGTAACTTTTGATATCTATTCACTACTCAGAAATAAATCACTTTCATTGTTAAACTGGTTGCTTCTCTCTCTTTCTTTCTCTTTTGCTCACTCTTCCTTAAGGGGTGCTGTTTTGGCTTCCCCATTCGCTCTGCAACAACGCTTCTTGTACCCAAGCAAAAGATCCCTGTAGTGCCCAAAA